CCCCCTCTGCCAAAGGCAGCCAGCCGCCTTTTCTGTGCTGGCTGAAGGCCTGGCAGGGGACCGAGGTCTTGGGGAAACGGGTTGCCATGGCGCTGGCTTTGCCGCCTCTGGCTTCGGAGAAGGGACAGGGCAGCGCGGCTGCTCAGTGCAGAGCTGTGGAGGCCGTTAGAAAACTGTGTGGATGGGGGAAGGTGCGTGGCAGAGAGCGCCAGGGCTTCCTGGTCAACGCCGCACGGAGCGCTAAACCCACCGTCTGCTCTCAGCTCCACTGGTGAGGTTTAAGATCTGTCCAGTGAGATCTGGACTGCCACCAAGTCTAGAAAGAAGTGTTACTGTGCTGCTTTGTTTTGTTTTTTCTTGAAGCGCGTTGGGTTAAAATGCTGGGAAGACCCTTGCTTACCTGTGCAGGAACAGTTTGCTATGTCTTAGATATGCCACTGCCAAGATGGGCTAAGGTTAGTGCCAGTGATGACCATGTACGCTTCCTAAGTAAGGTACAATTTCACTGCAGTGCTTGCTTCTGTCCCCGGAAGCACCTTGCGTAGGAGAAAACCCACCTCAACCGTCAGCTGTAGGTAAATGTTCATGTCGCTACCCAGTGTTAAGGGAGAGGGAAAAAGAATTTGTGGGAGGCAAGTTTTATCCCAGGATGAATACACCTGGGTTGAATACACTCAGGTACCCCATAAACTTCCACTGAGCCTCTAAAAAGTTTGCATACCCAAGGAAGGCATGTACAAACACACATTTGGACATATGAGGGAAGCAAAGAACTAATACTGAGTAAATACAATTTTGCTTGTAGTCTGCTTGGCAAAGTTCCCAGAATAGCTTCTGTCGTTAATTTACACTCATCTAAGAATGTTTGTCCTAGAACTCCACCTTTCTGAAGGGAACTTTTGCACAATGCCAGGGGAACATGGATGCTTATCCTTCACACATGCCATCTGTGGATCCTAAAAAGATTTATTTATGAACTTAAGTTTAGGTACTTGAATCCTCCTGTCAAGTCAATGATCCGTGTTTGTAGCTGAGGACGAGTGCAAGTCTTTACAGGAATGCGACTAAGTCGTCCCTCCAAGATGCTGTCTTTACGTTTAATGTTTGGAATGCTTATGGAATGGAATACAGCTTTTTGTTTTCCTTTTTCGTTCTGCAGGTCTTGACCTGGCAGGTATATTTCTCTTTGCAATCTTGACTCTGATGACGCTCATTGCCAATCTGGTGTTTGTGGAGGAAGTTGTCTATATCTATAGAAAAATCCCCTCCTCCAAAAGATCAATCTTAATTTGGATAAATGCCGCAGCTCCGGTAAGTGTTGTGGAAAAGAGATAGAATTGAACGTTTGAAAATGCCATTTCCTGGGAAAATCTGTATTTATTTCATGAACCTGCTTTGCCTCTGCCCTTACTACAACCTTTCTCTCTTTCTGTATAGGTGATTGCTACTACCTCCTGCATTGGGATGTGGATTCCTCGCTCAACAATGTTTACGGATTTCACAGCAGCAGTGTGAGTATTCTACTTGTTTCTAGGCATTGCCCCGAACCCAGAATTTCTTCCCTTTAAACATCTGCCACTCTTGGTAAACACAGTCATTTTGTAAATTTAACAATTGAGTAATTTTTAGTTTGAGTTGAAATCTCTTGGCAGCTCTTTTATGGGAGGTGGAAAATGCTGAAGTAGTTCCCAGTGCTGCAGCCCCCTAGTGTGGGAACGCTAGTATGAAAGAACTGGGACTTAAATGTAATTGATCCCTTTGATTGACAGTAGCTTTAAAGTAGTGCTCTTTCCTTTCTCCCTGTGAATGTCGTGTAGAATGAGATTCTGACCTGTGACTTCTTCCCTGTGCTTTTATTAGTGATGAGCTGTATAAGTCTATTATTAATGGTGGCAAGTGAATCTCCGATAAGTATATGAATGTAAAAATGTTCTGCAGTTGTCCTGATAAAAGCACTTTCTGTACGAGCATGACAGTTCTGACATGAACAGGGAAGTACAGAGAAACGTGGTCCCAGGTTCCTGGGGGTGATAGTGTAGCCCTTGTAGGCAAAGCCTGTTAGGGGGACGCTGTGTGGCGGTGTGCGCTCCGGGAGCGCTGTGCTGATTTTGGAACCCACTGCAGGACAGTGTCGCAAACTCTCATGATTAGCCTTACCCCATAACACACTGCATTTACTAAGAGAGCAGAGTAAAAAAGAGGGAAAACGCAGTAACGGGGAGCACTGTTAACACATAGCAATTTGTGCAGCAAATTGCAGGTTGCCAGAGAGTTGCAAGGAGCCAGTCCTATGGTACTTTAAGCCTATCTTAATCTCCCCCTCCTCCCTTGCTCCAGATGCAGGTTCCTGTCCCCTCCCTTGCACCACCGTTCACACTTCTCCAACTGCACAGTGAGCTTGTTCAAGGAGCCAGTGCAGTTGAAGAGGACCTCTTCTATTTTGTGGATTTCTGTTTGTTGGGTTTCAGTGGATCAGTTCTCTAAATCAGTTTGGGGCAGGGAGGAAAGGGTGGCTGCACAATCTGTTGTTCCTGGGAAGGGTTGAGAACGTGCAGCTGATGAAGGAGGGAGAGGTGGAGTTGTAGCAGTCAGTGCCTGGATCTGCTTCGGCTGCAGCGGAACCACACCCTGACATCAGCACATATGATGTTAGCTAAATGTATATATGAATGTAGCCACGAATGTTTTTTTTTTTAAGGAGAAATAGGACTTGTTCTGAAAAGTTTGGAGCAGTCAGGACTAGCTGACTGCTAGAAAAACATGGCCCTAGTAACTTGGGTTAGAAATTCCTGAGCTTAAGTACTGACTCTGCCGGGGTGGCTTTGGGCAATTCCACAACTGCTTTGTGTCTCAGTTTATTCCTCCTTCAATGGGGTTACAGCAGTTCTGGCTCTCCAAGGTGATGGGAAGCTGATGATTTTTTACAGCTGATGCTAGAATTTCTGTTGATTGCAAAGCGCAAGCTTGAAAAACCCTCAAGAGCAGAAGGTACTGGCCTATGCAGGCATATGAGAGACATGCAGGAAAAGTTCAAGCTGGCATTTTCTTCCTCTCCTGCATTTTTTGCCAATTAAAGAGTGCGGCGGTCAAAAGCTGTTCCTCAGGAGGTTTGAAAATGGTCGCTTCAAGATCAGTACAGGCCCCTGCTGTTGTTGCTGCCTTTGCCTCCCTGGTGTGCGCATCACTAGGTGAGTTGCCCTTTAAGATTTCCCCGCCGGAAAACTGCTGCTGGAATCCAGCCATCTTGGCAAGGCCACATTTACAGCAAAGGGCCTCCTTGCTTCCTGAAAAACACTCTCTTGGCTCTTGTGATAGACATCACCTCTGTCAGTCTCAAGTTGTCTCTTCTGGGGCTGTACAACGCGGCTAATTTATTTCATTGTTATTAATACAGAATTTTGCTTAAAAGTAGAGAGCATGAGATAACTCATTTTTAACTCAGTGCAGTGTTCCCACTCGTAGTCATGTTGAGCAATGTGTTATCCCCCCAACTAGTCCCATTCTTTTCCAAGAAACCATTTGTGTACTAAGCAGTAGTGTGTGGGAGGGGGAATTTCCATTCTAGAAACAATTATAACTGAGACTGCAGTTTCTTTTCATACCAATTGCAGTTTCTTTTCATACCAGAAGGGAACAATTGTCTCCAAACGGAATACTTTTCACAAACAGAATTTTCAAATTGAGGTGGACTTGGAAGAAAATTTCTCTTACTTTGATAAAATGGAAATGCTTTATTCTGATTTTAACTTTAAAAGTACTTCAGATTAAAATAATGTTTAGAACAAAAAAGGGGTAATTCCTGGAAAGTTTTGATCTCCATGAAATGGCATTGTCTAGTGAGATAATACCAAATATTTTCTTCTACTAAACTAATAAGGCACTTTGGAGAAGAGTGGTAAGGATGGAGAGCTGCACCTACGGATGGGAGCCAATATACTGTACCAAAAACCTTGCGTCTTTCCGGCGTTTCCTGGTAGGGCCCCTCCTCCAGCTAGTATCAGGCTGTCATTTACATGCTTCTCCACAATATTTGCAGCCTGAAAGGCTCATGGATTTCCCAGGGCTTTTCTGCTGGCACAGAGTATGGGAATGTTTCTCACATTAAGAGCAAAAAGCTTAAGGCTTCAAAGTGCAAGATAAGAGAAGTTTTTATGAGGGCCTGGACATTAATGCCAGAGGGACCTTAGGGACTTTATGGTCTAGTGAAGAGAAAGCAGCAAGGAGAATGCAACTTACGTCACTGCCAGTCCAGTGAGAGCTTATCCAGGAATTTGAGAGGGCTGGTGATATAAGCTTGTAGCTGTCCATTAAAAAAAAAACAAAAGTCTTTTTGCTCTGCAGAAGAGCTTAGGGCTCCTTCTCTTCATTCTGTAATACTGGGAAACTTATTTGCTGTCTTCTGACTTCCAGCCTCTTCCTATTACAGATAACAATATTTTTGAAAAATGGGCAAGGTATGCCAGAGAAAGATCAGTCTCGGATTCCTTCCACAGATATCTTCTGGGGATGCAGGGAGCTACTCCAAGGAAGGAACTTGTTCTTTAAAAAAAGTGGTATGCTATCAAGCAGTCTGGGAAGGGTAACAAGGTACAGGGGACGGATGAGGCAGGGTAATAAGTCGTACAATGGAGAGATGTGACAGGAGAAATCTGAGGGTAAAGAATGGTAGACCTGTGTCGACAAGGAAAAAAACACCCGGTGTTGTGGTGACTGCACTGTGTGTCCTGTTATTCTTTAAAGCCCTGTGGGAATAATGAACCTTTGAAAAGGCATATGCACTAAATGGCTGACCTGTTGTAGGCCGTTCCACAAGTCTTTGTTATGTTCATACTGCAGTAGTTATTAGCTATCTTAATTGAGCAATTCAAGTAATTCCTGCTTCACGGTTATATGCTGTAACACGTATTAAATGGCAGGCTGTGGTCTGCTAAGGCATCTGTGATGGGAGTCTCAAGGGATCGAGAAGCTGCAGCGAATACAATAATATAAAAGAGTATGGGAAATACACAGTAGTAGACTAAGACGTGAGCCAGCTGTAGCAGCCAAAGCTTGTCCTGTGAAGACTGAAGGTGAGTTAAAGTTAGTCAGCTTTCATGTCTGTTGTCTGCATGTGCATCTGCCCCTTTTCTGATGATGTTTAATATTGGATGGCCAGGTTATTGTATATGGGCTATGTTCTGAATCAAGATTATACTGACAGATAAGAGAAAGGAAATCCTGAGCTATTCTGCTGGCCATGTACAGTTTCCCAAGGGAAAGATAGTTCCTTTCTCCTGTTAGTATACAGAGAAGCAAAACCAGATGCTTATGCGGTAGTATTCATGATGCATTGAAAGATTACCAGTCCTTTCACCTAAGTCTGTGTAATTCCTTTTCTTGATCTGCCAGAGGACTAGGAGTTGGCTGAACGGGAAGGTAGAGTCAGATAGATGCAACAGGATAACAGATATTATCTGTTATCTGCACTGCACATGATAGGGGTTGAAGCTCTGTAGTAATTTGCCATTCAGCCATGAAGGCTGGATTGTTCAGTTTTGTCCGAGAAGTGAAATAGTAAGGCAACAAGACAGAGTAAGTGGCATTATTGTTCAGAGACCCATTATGCTGCTACAGGCTCCCTTGTTAGCTCTGCAGCAGAGAAAGACATCACATTTTGCCCAGCTTTGGTTAGTAGGTGATTGGTGCAGAATAAGAATTCTATTTTTGTAGACGCTCTACTAAACAAGTATCTGGGTAATTCTTGGAAAGATTTTTGAATCTTGAAGCTGTTCCTCCCGAGATATTAGCCACGTGCTGTAGGAGTGGATACGTTTTGCGTTTCGGGAGTATTCAAAAAATGTTATTAAGGCTGTTAATTGGCTTTTTTTTTTTTTAATTTATTTATTTGTCAGGCGAACCCTCCTTTGGCTGAAGTTGGGCACCTTTCAGTTTGCTTTCTTTCGACCTGTGCTCATGTTTCTATCAATAGTGCTTTGGACCAATGGCAATTACAGCCCTTATAATGTAAGTAAATACTGTAATGAGCAGCAGCCCATAAAATCCATAGTTGTAGGGTTGATGTTAGTATCTTAGCCAACACCTAAACTCTGGGATCTGGGAACACTTCCAGGCATGTCCTGGCTGTGTTCTGTTAAGAAGAGATGCTAAAGTGTATCGTTTCCCTCTTCCTCCAGACTCTTGATTGGCTGGCTTCTCTTGGAAAGAAACTGGGTGTCAGGGTGGTTTGGGCATCAGGTTATTTTCCAACACATGATCCAGTCCGTACAATCTGAAGGTCAGGACTGCAAGATGGCCTGTGAGATGTACCTGCCCTATGTTTTGTAAGGTGCAGCCTTAAGAAACATGTACTGTGCGTAAACAGGAAACCTAATATTTTTCTGCAAACTGGCGGTTTTTATAACCTTGCAAGGTAGAAAAGGTAGTAAAGGTAGTACTGTGCTTCTACTTTGTATTGTGTAAGCCGCAAGATGAGGGAGAAGTGGACTCTCATTGGTTTGCAACAAGTGCTTTGAGTCAATATTTAGGATCCTTGCTACAGCTGAATAAGCTGTAACATTTCTCTTGCTGTCAGTCTTTCCAGTAGCAGTGCCTTACAAATAGGCATTTCGAACCTTTATCGTGATGTGGCTCATGCAGACATGTTCTTCTTTTAGCCTTTAAAGAGTCAATGAATCCAGAGGGGAGTGCTGTACAAACAGGACTGTCCCATGGCATTAAGGATTCTTTGCAAACTTTAAAACAAGGACCGTGGAACACATGAGAAGGCTATGCTCCCTTTGTGCCTTACTGTGGTTGAAAGGCTTCATGATCACAAAAGCTGAAGAAAGTCTGTAACTGCTAAGAACTTTGCACCTCTGGGATAACTCAGACTAAAAGCAATAATTTTTTTGTGTTTTTTCATGGTAGTGAAATAAAGGACCCCTAACGAGCTGCTGAGCATTCTTAGGTGCTGCTGGGGTCAGGGTGAGGGGTGGTGTCACTTGCTGCCTACGTAGAACTGAACAGATTCAGCCCAGGGGATGGGAGTGCTTTGGCACCGCTCCAGTTTGTACTGTGCTGTTTCCAGTGCAAATCCCAGCACCTCCTGCTAACTTCAGCTTTTGTGGAGATAGAAACAAGCATTTTAATGTCTCCATATAATATCAGCATTTTAATATCTGTTCAGAACATCTACCTTGAAATAGCAACACTGACACTCTTAAGTTTCATAAGTGTGTTTGTTTGCTTTGCTTCTCAGTTATCTCTTGAAGGAGCTGCAATATGGATTAGCTGCTTCATTGGTGTCCTTACCATTATTGCTCTGTGGCCAATTGGAATCATGTTTCAACAAGTTAGGACTCTCCTTAACTGTAAGAAGATCATCCCTAAGTTTGCTCTTTATCAGGTGAGAAATTTAACATTTTTGTTACCAATTTCTATTACTGTTGATATAACGCTGCCTCTCGGGTCCTTGGTCCTTTGTTTAAAGGTTATGGTATTTCTTGCCATAAAACATACTGTACAAAGGCATGTTTTTACCTGATTAAAGCTGTCTTGTATCCCTTTGGAGCATTCTCCTTGCTGCTGTTCAGTTTAGCTTGAGCTAACTTAACGTCTAGTCTCTCCAAAGTCCTAGAGATTTGAGCTATGTAAAATCCATTCATCTTTAGTCTGTGGAAATCAAAACACCACCTTCTGCAAGGCTAGAAGGAAGCTTTAGAGATGCGGTATCTTGAAACGCAGTGTTAAAATGCTGGTGTGTACTTAAAAACTAGGAGAGGATGTGGAGCATTGTGTGGGTGGCTTTTGTTTGAACTGTTTTAGCATGCCACTATGTTCCATTTTGAAAGTATTTTCTTGGCCATTCTGCATTTCAGAGTTAGATAATAATGAAAGTACTGACTGGGAATCACTAAACAATAAAGAACAGAACTAGATAAGTTGGGCTGAAAAAGTGCAGGGATGGGACCACCCTCTCCCACATCACCCTGAAGAAAGAAAAAGGAAGCCACTCCTATATAGCTCAGGGAGAACCATATCTCCCTGCTGTGGCGGCAAACAGATGAGCCAGTAGAAGAAGTGTTCCTTGAATATTTCCTCCCACTAAAGGAGAGCAGGGGTGAGAAGCGTTTTAAACCTTTTTATCTAATATATCAGAGCTCAGTATTGGTTAAAATCCCAGCTGGGAGCTCTGTGTATATTGATTGCACTTCCAGAATGAAGGGCTGAGAAGAATCCCTTTTAGAACAGAGAGATTTAATTTAATAATCATATGCATAACAATGTCGTCCTGACCAAAGGATGCAGAATGGCAGGCAGCCTGCTGGTAGATGGGAGGAGAGGAGGGCAAGAAGGGAAAAATGAGGTGAAACAGGGTCTATTATGAAAGCAGAATTGGTGTGTGAACTACAATCGTGATGGCAGCTAAAGCATCTGTTTTCTCTTCCTGGTGCAGTTTATCCTCATCCTGAGCCAGCTGCAGGCAGCTATTATCAACATCTTGGCTATGCAAAGAATTATTCCCTGTGCTCCACCGCTCTCCTCTTCAGCAAGAGGAGCATGTAAGTCCTTTTGAGAGGGGGTGTTCTTCATTTACTTACAGAGGTTCACTGTTGCTAACTGCAGTATCTGGCGTTTTCCTGAAATAGTAATTTCCTGGGATTGTCTAGTCTTTTGAGAATCTCAGCTTTTATTTAAGAACAGTAACAAAACTTTTCTAGCTGTCCTAGTTGCAGAGGAAAACTTGATAGCGAGAAGAGTTAGAATCGGAACTCAGAGGACAAGAAACCAACAAGTATAATTGTTGTTAAATCTCATGGGATTTGGATGCAGATCTTACTGCATGCTTATAGATGGATGGACAATACTTTAATTCCGTAACTGGTATTATTGCTGATTGTGAGATATGCTCCATTATGGGAGTAGGATAGCAAAGTTTGTTCCTTTTGCACAGACAGGAATGAATAAGCTATTCCTTTCTTGCCTGATCCTCATGTTCCTGGTTTTTTCGCTTTTCTTTTCCTTCTTTTTGGCAGATATGACCCAACAGCTCCTCATCATGGAGATGTTTCTGATAACCCTAATCTCAAGGGTGGTCTATCGGAGAAGATATGATGACCTAGGACCTCCAGAGAGTACCCCTGAAGAAGGCAGGGACAACAAGGAGGCTCCTAAGATTATCCTGAATGGTGCAGTTAGTGAAGACAGATTGCTGGGGGTTTAGAAAGATCCCTGTGCTCCTGCTCTGCAGGAGCTGGAAACTCAGCTTTAGGAGCTTTTATATCCTTGCACCAGAAATAACCACTGCCCATGTCAGAACAGCTTCTGACATAAATACCTGTGAGCTGTACTGAAAAGACCAATGAGTAGAAGGGTAACCCTCTTTTTTCTCCAGTGATATATATGTGGTGTGAGCATTTTCATACTATGTAATTTAGTAAGATTTCATACCATGTAATTTTATCCTGTTGTCAAACACTTAATGGTGGCCAAACAGTCTCACAAATATGATTTTTTTTTTCCCCAGCTATTCGAAAGGCTGGGATTTAGAGTTAATCCAGAGTCATTCTCTTTTCATCTTTTTGAGTTTTGTTTTAAACCTATTTCAGGTAGGCTGGATCGCAGGTCTAACACAGCATTTTCCCATCCATCCTCCGTTAGAATTTATCAGCTTTCACTCTGTGCCACAAGCTCATTGTACCTAATTTGGGTCAGTAGATATATCTGCACATGTTCGTTCTGAAATCCCCAAACCTGCCCGTGTACTCCACCTACATAAACGATGATCTCCTCAGGGCAAGACTTCAGCATTCCCTGGCAACTCACCTCCTAACTCAATAAATACGCAGTTGCTGTTTGTAAACATATAATCAACATTGGCAGATGTTCTTCCTAGGAGAGGCAAATTCTCAGTCACTGGTCTGGAAAAAGCAAGTAAGGGTTATAGTCCAAGGTGTGTTATGTCACTACTCTGTGACGTTATGTGGTTCTTCAGTTCTCTGCTTGGAATAATGATACAAGGGATCCTTGTGCAAAAGGTATCTATGAAGATAAGTATTGTTGAAAGGAATCTTCTCCAGAAAATTCTCATCTCCCGAGCTTATCACCCCACATCTGTCCTGCCCAGGCATCCAGTAGAACTTCAAGTATTATTAGACCTTTTGACTTCTCATCCATTAGTCTGTTTTGCTTAAATCCGCTTCTGCTTTTTGCAAATGGTCCTGACATTCTTGGATGACCCTAACTGTTTGATTTAGTTCTCCATAATTTGTAATATGATATTGCGTTTACTGTGTTTAATAAGCATGTGGATATTGTGTTTGCTGAGAAAGGACTTGCAGTACCTTATGCTAGCATTTGTCTCTCTCCACATCTAGTCTGATTCCTAAATGCCTAATGCCTAATCCATGCAGCATGGATGCTTATTCTATATGTAGACTAGGAAAATGTTTCATGTTAGAAAGTGTGTTATTATCATCTTTTACCTATATTATGTCAAATACAATTTGCCATCAAAGCGGAGCTTGGCAAATAGTGGGGTTATATTTAGTTTACAAGGAATTCCAAAAATACTTTCAGTTTGGGAGCTGGGGGTGGAAAATGAAGTATTTTGTAAACCTCAACAAGTTGGGAGGTTGAATTAAACAAAATGTTTTCTTCCTTTAGACTGAGGTCAGAAATAGTATTTTCATTAACGATAGAATGATTCCATTTTACTAGAAAAATTATTTTTGTTTTGAAAAGGTTGAAAAATGTGTATTCTTAATTTCTTTCTGAGCAGGCAATCTGGGAAATTGACAGAGATTCTTGATCCACAATAAAGTGCTAGAATTTGCATTTTTATTTGAAAAACCATATGGGTGAAAATTTTCACCCTAGAGCATGCCAGTAGAGTTAACTGGGGACGAGCTTATATATTCTTAACATGACAAGCTTTGTTAAAGTATTTTAATGTTATAGCTATTAGCATATTATAAGAGTTCTTAATTTCATAATGGCATAGGGAATGGCTGGCTGTGACTTCAAGAAGCTTCAAAATTGGAAAATATTGGAAGCCAGTAAAATATCTCTGAAAACAGTTTAATTATTAGAGCGAATGGGACAAAAGAGCGTTACTGGAAGAGGCTTTTTATAGTAGTTCTGTAAGTGGTGTGCCTTGGCGAGCAGGATCTGTTGCGTGGCACGGCGGACCCACACCGCCACGCGGACACTCTATTTGGAAACGAATGGAGCGTATGGAGAAGCTGGGAGTGGTCTCTGTATGCCTGGTGAAGGTGGCTGCCCAGGCACAGGAGGGTCTTCACCTCCTCATATGCTGCCTTTGAAGCACTTGTTCAGGGGACAAGATCTTCTATCGCTGTTGGCCTGGTATTTGTCATGTCTCTAAACCACCCATTAAAATATATCTTTTAAACAGCAATGTGAGCCTAATTTAGCCACAAGGATCACTCTCTCTTGTATTTTTGGGTAGATATTAAATGTTTCCTGCTGTTTTTCTGACATTTGAGCAATAAAATATACTGTCAGGTGATGAATGCCAAGCAGAGTTGGCAGCAAGGACATTTCTTTTTACTACGTATGGTCATGGAGGTCTAATTCCAGAAAACACTTGCTTACATAGAACCCTTTTCAGAGCAAAATTAGAGATACTAAATCTTAAATATGTGCCTAAGAGCTTTCTTGAATCACAGCTCATGTGAATGCAGAAGAATGTATAGATTTTACTACAAATTTCTTATTTTTGAGCTTTTTAAAGGAAGAATTCCTCCCTCTTCTCTGGCTCAAACCTATAGCTTTAACCCGCGTAATCTGGGTGTCCCTCCCTAACTGGGTAGGAGCCTGGGAGCAAGCAGCCAGGGGCAGCAGGTGGGCTGTATTGCAGTACCGTCATTTAGGTGCTCTTGAAATTAAAATGTTGGAAATCCTAACATCCAAGTTGTACCTTAGGAAATCTGAGCATGGAAAAAACAGAACGCAGAAAATTCCTCCAATCTCAATTCTGATAAGGATCCCTTTCTCACCAGCAAGAAAGATTGCTTTCAATTATGTGATAATGGCGATGAAAGCATTTGAGAACATTTAACAAAAGCTAGGAGATAACAAGTTTCACAACTCATATTTTATACAGCTGCTGTAAAGTAGTAAGTCTTAAGGTGAACCTATAACCTTTAAGCAATGTTTGCTTTAGATTAGAATGTGAGGAAGAATAAAGGTATTTTTATTGATGTCTTTTGTGATGATAAAAGGCACCAACACCATTAAATAGAATGACAGGAATAGATGCAGAGAGATATGTAATCAAAGGTTAAAAGAGCATTTGGAGAGACTGATGAGAACATAGAGAAAAAAATTAGCTATGTGTTTTAGGTGGCCAAGCAGTAAAAATATGAGAACAAAAGCAAACACTGACAATGAAATGTTCCAGAGTATAACATGCAGTTATGTAATAAGAACAGCATATACAGGAGAGGGCAAAATTAATGCTAGCACTTCGTAATTTTGCATGACTGGCTTTGCCAAAAAAGAAAAAAAAGAACAATTGCACAGTGCATCTGTTTTGCATCTATCATTCAAGCTGGAGTGTTTTTGTTTGTTGTTTGTTTGACAAAACTAAGTGAATCCCTCCTGCTCCAGAAGGCTGTGAACTCCCCCATGAACCTTGAACTCCCTCCCACAGCCCTCCTTGCAGTGGCAAGTTGTCATTCCCTCTGTAGCCCTAGCTAAGAGGGGGCAATTAAGCATGTATTTAAGTGCGTCCCTTTGTGTTTCACATGCCTTGCCAGCAGCAAAGGAATTATGACTGGCTACTCAAGGGATCTGTTCCTGGTGCTAAGAGGGTATTCTGATGACTGTAGACCTTTCTCTTCCTATATCCCCCCTCCAGTTGTCCTTTCTGTTGCTGTTCCTCATACTTGTCCATGCCTCGTTCTCCCTGCTCAAGAGAAAAGCAGGAGCGCTCCCCGGCTGGCCTCTGTATTGTTGTCTGGCAAGAGAAAATAGGCAAAATCTTCTTAGGCTATTTTTTTCTCTGCTAAGTCACACCTTAATATAACTCCTGACAGATCATAGTGCAGCCTCATTAGTAGATACACTGAGCTCCTTCCACAAACTCTTCACTTTCCTCACTTCTCAAAATCGCAGTTACTATTAAAATGTCTCTACCTAAAGGTAATAAAAGCAGCAGATTTAAAGAGATGAGAACTCTTTGTGGAAGATTTTCTCTTGGCTTTTTCCTCAATTCTTTACCTTCAAAAAAGCTTATTAGGCCTACACTGATGCCACTTAACTGCCAAATAATAAGGCATTTGGTGTGCCAGTGCAGCACAGGAAGACACAGGTGCTTATAGACAAGTCTAGGGCAGCTTGAACTCACCAAAAATTCTTTATTTGGCTGTTCAAACAAGAACAAAAAAATGCTACTACAGAAAGTTAATTGAAAAACAGCATGAAGCTTTTACTGAAGAATTTTTACATGCATTTATGGGAGAAACCAGACCTAAGATTTTGGGCATTCTTGGTCAGATCTAGGGAGAGAAAAAAAATTTTCCAAGGGCAATTTCCCTTTCATTTGTGGGTGTCCCTTCCTTTGACAACTACTCAGAGGCCACCATCTTTAAGACCTGACTGCCCAACGTCCATTAGGCAGATACAGTCACTGCTTATATACAAAGCTAATGGCAGGGGAACAATTACTTTAATGCAATTTAGCAGCTGGGAAGTGTAACCTTCCCGTCTAGAGGTTCAGCTTTTTGAGATCTAAGGCACAACTTTAACATACAGGCTGAACTTGGTTCAGACTTCTGAGAAAATTGCTAAGTTGGTGAGAAAGCGCTGCAAGACAGTCAGCAGAGTAAAGCCATGCAAGATAAGAAAGGTAAAATCGCCAGCAAAGGTGAGCGTGTTGACACAGGGATAATTGGCAGCTCACAGGTCCACAAGGAGAAAAACCAACATGAAAAAGCACAAAATCCTACAGAAAAAAACAAGTAGTCCCAGGATGCCAGTTCTGCAGCTTTGATGACCACCTTGCTCCAAGCAGCAGCAAAAGTCAGCTCTTCCCCAGCTGGCCGAGGGCTGCCTGGCCAGCCATAACTCTGTGGGTTGGGGTGGTGAGCTTGTTAGTCCACCTACCTATGTGTATATTGACCAATAAATAACTTGAATAAACTTTAACCTTTCAAGCTGTGAATATCCTGCTTGCAGAGGCCCTTGGTCCATAGCAAAAGGCATCCAAACAAATTGATCCAGAAAGGGAGGGCTGCAAAATAAGGGAGAACTATATGGTGCGGGCAGGCACCTCTTCTTACATCATAATTTGAGAATCACTGCTCTAAGAGCTAGAGGCACAAAAATGAGTGCTGAGTTAGCATTCATCATCCAGCATAAACCACTGAGAAAGGTGAGTTTCTGCGTCTCCCTGTAGCCTTGCCATACACAGCCAGCAAAGGGTGTGAGCTAATTGTTAAATTCAGTTCAACAAGTTCCTCATTAGGGGGAAATTACCTGAGTTTGAAATCTGCTAATTTTCCAATCAGGGTGAGTGTTTGCACTTGTGATTTGGAAATAATTAACACATGGTATAACATCAAAACCTATGTAAAGGCTAATGGTAGAAGGACTAATTTCCTTGGCATGAAAATGGTGTGCTTAGTTGTTCCAGAGCTCTATTGCTATCCTTTCAGTAGAAGTGTCTAGTGTGTAAGGTGTTCTATTATTTATGTAGTTTGATCCTCTCTAGCATTGTATTTTTTGTGTTAATTTTGAAAAATCAAACCTTTATTTTTCAAAGCTTGGCATTATTTTTGAAAGAAGTTATTATTTTGAAAGAAGTTATTTATATTTCTCCATTTCTTGTCAATACAGGATTTTCCAGAATTACCAGCTTTCATCATCTTTAAAAATAGATCAGTGGGGATAAACCATCATCTCAGACTAGGTCTTTAGTCTGAGTTCTGCAAGCTTTAAGATAAGCATTCCCAGGAGAGCCATGTTCAGATTCTTAAAAGCCTTCCTGGAACATGAATGCACTCTAATATTTAGAGAGGAAAGGATGCCCAGGTTAGGACTGCTGATTAGGAAGCCTTGCAGACAGGAGTAAGAAATGTAGTTGGAAAACAGAAACTAATTTTCTATTGTAAAGTTCCAGCTGCTGAAATAACCCTGACCATCACCACTTTTATATATTATTAGATAATAAATGATGCTATCCTCACAGCATTACACCACTACAACTTGGTGCATTCGTTGCCTCTCTCCATGAAGCCTGCAAGGGAGAAGAGTGATTTAACCTCCAGTAGCTGGGTCAACTCCACCCAAGGGTTTCATTAGTCCTGCTACCATGAATATACTGCAGCGTATTGGGGTGAAGGGTGTGACTTGACAGCCAGAAACAAGGAGAACAGCCAATTCCCTACAAGCAGGCAGCTCGCGGCAGGTATACTGTCCAGACTAATGTCTAGTCTAGAACTAGTCTGGTTCTTGATATAAGCTCAGTGACTCAGAGTGTGCTATGTAAACTTTTCTTGCTTGCCCTCAGCACATGGTGCTTTTCACCTCCTTTAGTCACTGTGTTGCCTTTAAAATAAACACTTAAAGCCTCCAGGCAAAGCCTCACACAAAAAAACAAGCCATCAAGAAAGCTGCGTAGGATGGTTTTAAATGGCATCACATCTACCGAGAGACTTCATGGTGCCAAACAGCGCCCTCAAGGT